TGTATTATTTGTTGAAACTGTACTTTCGATTTGATTTGAAACTGTCTCATTGCTATATGTTTATCAATAAAACTTTGAAAAGAAAAAAAAACTAATTTTAGCAGAGGATTACATTTAAAAATTCTCTTAAGTATAATTTTGATCCTTGTTTCATTTTCATTAAATCCAAGGCGATGGCTTACCTTTCACCTGAAGACCTTTTAAAGGGAGAAATCGAAGACTCATTGGAAAAGGTGCAAACAGCCACCAACATCTTAAAGACTTTCAAAAATTCATTTTTCAACTATAAAAAAGGATTGGCAAGTTATTTCACAAGAAATAAGGAGCTGAGACTCTGGGATTTTCAGTCTCACCTGGTGTTTTGCAGATTTGACAAATTCCTTGACCGTTTAATGAAAATAGAGGTACTCAATTATTGAATTTATTTTTTTTCACATTGTGGGTGGGGTCAAAAGCCTGTAGCTTTCCACATGATTCCTGGAAGAGCAGGAATGGGAGATCTCTTTTCTTAGCGATAAGCTCATGAAGTCAGTGCTGTAAGGAGAAAAGAATGACTTTTAAAACTTTAATGGGCTTCTTTTAGAATTCATTTTTGATTGATCACACCAAGTGTAAGTCAATTTTTTTATCTCCTGTACCAAGCCTTAGAATTTCCTAAGATCCTGGAAAAATGTTATGAATCTGGAAACTGTAAAGGCATCCTTTTCCTTTTGTATATTTAAGGAAACACATATAAAACATACTTGAAATTAAAATTTTTGTCCCCCCAACCACTTAATAATTTAAAATACTAAACACACCACCTTTTGGTATACAAATAAATAATAAGTACATAGTATAATACATATACTTTATACGCATAACTGTATACTATGAAGTATTAAAACCATCTATAAAGGGCCAGGTATGGGCCAGCCGTGCCAGCCCTTCCCCCACTGCACTGGCCCAGAGTCCTGAGACAGCAACTGAGATGTGGGGTGGTGGTGCCTGCCTGTAATCCCAGCACTTGGGAGGCTGTAAACAGGAGGACCACTATGAGTCTGATCTAGTAGTGAGACTCTGAACACTCTGTAGACCCTTCCCTAAAAATACAAAAAGAAAAAAAAAATCCATAAAGATAGAACATGGAAATAGATGTTCTGTATAATTATTTATTTACTTATTTATTGTATAATTATTTAAATGCCTAAAATTAAAAAAAAATTGAATACATATCTAGAGCCTACTGATTGAGCAGTGTGAACTGACGATACTGCTTTCTTTTCATTTGAAGGCTTTCTAATTTATTCTTTATCATTGACATAAGATTCCTTGAATTTCACTCAAAATTGGAGAAGTTTATTTTGAAAACTTGTCATTTAATTAGCCCCACTGTCTCTTAAATTCTGAGGCTGAGGGCTATCTGTACCTCCCTTTCCTAGAAGCCTCTCAAATGCCTTTCCAGGAAAGGAGCTGACTTAGCATCAAAGGAGCTGACTGACTAAGTCATCAGTCAGCTGACTTAGCATCAGCTGACTTCCATCAGCACACGTTCTGGGTATTACCTGGAGGTCTGACTGAGACTTTCAGGATCTCAGTTAGAGAAGTTATGTATCTGTGTAATTTAGAGATACTGTGAGACACTTGCCAGTAAATATGAAAATGGGAATGTGACTTTTAAATTAGCAATTATTTTGTTCAGTTAAGTTGGTAATTATTTTCGTAGGCGAGTAGCCACAGATTTATTGGTCTCAAATGTTGGAAAGTGTTCATTATTTGAAGCTTTAAATCTTTTTCTTCTTAAGATGGTAAAAAGTTCTTTACTGTATCTTTACACAGGACATATTTGTCACCATGTTGGAATTTGAAAAGCTGGAAAGACTAGAATTTGGTGGTACCAAGGGAGCAATTCTAAATGAACAAATCCTTAAAATGAGTGAAGAATTTTTGGATCTCTGTAAAAATTTTAAACAGAGCACTTATGACCCATCTGATTACGACAACATGGTAATATTGTACCTTTGCTCTTTCATTTCATAGGGTCCTATAATTTTAAGTGATAATAGGTACTATCCTGTCCAGTCCCTAAGACCAAAAGATTTGCCTGAAATCTGTTTATTGCTTGTTGGTAGATCAGGAACCAGGAGTCAGGCTTTCATTTCTAGCTCAGACCTGTTTCCAGGAAATCTAGACCTCATTCTGGACATTTCTTGTTTATATTAAAAAGGAACCTTCTAGAGTAACTTATTTGGGTCTGATTACCTGATGTTCTTATAGCTTACAGATATTATTTTAGCCCTTTTCCTTGTTTTTGATCTATTTAAACAACTAGTTTCGTCCTATGCTAACATGTGTGTTGTCCATCATCATTTTTATTATTTAGTGCTATTTATAATTTCAGATTTCTAACCTCAGGAAATAGGCAGAAGCATGCAGATGTGAGCTGTTCTGTTTTCTGTCATTTCCAACATGTCAGTAACTAGGGTGCTTCCTATGGGGATCCCTGCAGCTCTGTGATAAAAATAGCTTCATCTTAGTAGCTTGCCAAAAGTAGTGAAGCTCGTGTATGGAAAGATGAAGATTTAATTCTTTTTTTGTTTGATTATAAAATGTGAATTTATTCACTACTATGGTTATATTTGGCTGTGTAAATTAAGTCTTTGAAATGAACAAGTGCAGTGTGTTACGGTTATAAGGATATAGTTAGCAAACTTTTTTTTTTTAATTTTTTTAATTTTAGGGAAGAGTCTCTCTACTATGTCGGACTCATAGAGATCCACCTGTTTACAGCCCCCAAGAGCTGGGATTACAGGCGCACGCCACCCACCCAGTCTCAGTTGCTGACTCAGCACACCCTGGGGGCGGGGCTGGCACCACAGGCCCACAGCCCCTGTTCCTGCCTGCAGGCACGTTAATCTGCTGAGCTATTTAGCCAGCCCTTAGTAAACTTAATATGTCTGCATTACAGGAAGTTTTGCGAAGTCCAGTTAATAGTAAGTGGGCATTGCCATGGTGAGTGATGCCCTGCTAAGCTGGTACACTATGATTTGTGTAGAAACAGGAGGAACCCAGTAACAGATATTCTGAGCTCATCTTGAAAGCCTTGTATGACATGTGGCACTTGAAAGAGTTTTAATAGTGGGACTTTTGCAGGAGCCAGTGGCCTGGTCTATCTGCATGAACTAGTAGTGAAGGATTGAGACCAGGCATGCACAAAACCCTCAGGAACATTTGAGGTATGGGGAGCCTAGATTTCCTCATGGTTAAAAATACTGGCAAGTTTTCAGAGTTTCACTCATGTCAGTGTCTGGGCTAGTGATGGTGAGCTTTTTAGAGCTTTCAATGATATCCAACAGCCCGGTGTGGCATATGTGCCAGAGGTTTGCCACCACAGGTCTAGGAGATGCCAAGGGTCCTGAATTTCTTCTTGTCAGTGCCTACACAGTTACAAACATGAGTGAGTAGAATATTCATTTGTTCTGAAGCTGGGTGTGGTTGTGCATGCCTGTAACCCCAGCATTTGAGAGGCTGAGGCAGGAGGATCACCTTGAGTTTAAGGATAGCTTGTGTTACATAGTGAGTTCAGGGCCAGTCTGAACAACATAGGGAGACTTTGTCTCACAAAACAAAGCAAAAGAACAAGAAAAGAAAATGAAAATTCTTCTGTTCTATACTTATTTATATTGTTTATATTTGTACTTTTAAGGCCTATTTTACTTTTTAAATAAGGTGGGCAAAGGTGTGTAATCTGTGTTCTGATTTGGAAGTATCAGTCAGTGTCCGTTGGAATTCCCCTATCTGATTATCTTGCCTTAAAGCAGAATCAAGAAGCTCCTCAACTTTGGTCATTGCTTAAAATTAACATATGAATTAACTAAATTTTTGCTTATCCAGTATTCTTATGTTGAAGACCTTTGCTTCTTTGTACATGCCCTCAGTATCATTATTGTCTTAAAATATAGCATCTGTCCTAGTTTTTGCCTAATAAGTATTCTTTTTGGTGTTGCTTTGCTGAGCTCATTGCACATTGATTTGTATCACAGAATCAGCTGGGTAACTGTTAAAGGCATGCATGTGGGTGTGTATAGGGAAGCACACCCGCTCCTGTGATTTCCCTGCCAAATGCATGTACCCTCCTGTGTCCCCCACTTCCCTCTAGCTTTGCACTCAGCTTACAGAGCAGATATTGTGATCCATCATTCTGCGCTTTGATGTAGAGATGATTTAAATCCTTTACAATAAATGAAAGAAATGACCACTAGTAATTTGCTTTTTGAAATACCCTTGCCTCCCTTCACTAACCCCAAACCTGTTAATCAGGCCTTTGTCTTAATTGGTACAGCACAAAGTCTGCCACGCTGTAGTCTTTGTATAGAATGGGAGTATTTCCTGAGTTGTACTCATAAAGATGTTTTGGGGCACCCCAGTTATTTATATTAATTGAAGAATTTAGGTTTTTCCTTTGACTTCTTCCTGTGGTACTGTTTGGGAGCTAGATGATCATGGAAGAGACTTATTTTTCTCATTGTTTGTATTTAACAGCTAGTCTGATGGAGCTCTGGTTTGCTTATATTCTGTGCTATCATTTGATTTAATACAGTTTTATAGATGTTATAGTTTAAGTGTAAAATGTTCTTCAAAACTATCATGTTCAAAGATGGAGCTTTTGGAAGACAGTTGAGTCATGGGGGTGTGATACTTGTCAATGGTGAGTTAATCTCTTGGTGAGTTAATGCCTGCATTTGCCGTGAGTTGATAAAAGTGGGTCTCTGGTCTTCTGGTATGGAAGGGTGTGTTTTTGTCCATCACTCCTACCTTTTCTCTCTGTCTCCTGTCTGCCATGGGTTGGGTAGTTTTCCTCTGTCATGTCCTTCTACCATGCTGTGTCTTCCCTGGAGCCAGTGGATCATACATGAACTGAACACTCTGAAACTGTAAGCCAAAATAAATTTCTACTTTATGTTGCAAATGTTGAATATTTTGTCCCAGCAGTGAGAATATAACTAATGTAGAAAATTAGTATCAGAGAAATAGGGCCATTTCTGTGACCTAACCATGTGGTTAAGAGGTGTTTAGAACTGGTTTTTGGAAGGAGTTCAGGAAGGTTTGCAGATACAAGCTATAGAAGCACTAGAATGCTTTAAGCAGAAGTGACAGGTGACTCTTGTTTTCTCATAGACCTAGAATACTGATAAGAATGTGAACAGAAATGTCAGGCTTGCGAGGTTTCAGTTGGGAGTGAAGACTGTATTGGAAACTGGACTAAGAAACTGCATGTTTCATTTTGGCAAGGGGTTTGTCTATATTTGTACATATCCTCACACTTTAAAGCTAAATTTAAAGGTGACAGATTAATCTGATGAAGGAAAGTTCAAGGCAGCCCATATTCAGGCTGAGCCATGGGTGCTGTAGTTGCTTTTAGTCTGATGTACGTGACAATCAGGAGCAAAACACAGAACCCAACAATTAGAAAATTTTGCAGTTTGGGCCAGCCAAATAGCTCAACGGAGCAAAGCACCTGCAAGCAGGCACAGGGGCTGGGGGTTCAATCCCCAGGCCTGCTGTGCTGGCTCCACCCCCGGGGCATGCTGAGATGGTGATTGAGACTGGGCGTGGTGGCCCATGCCTGTTACGTCAGCCCTTGGGAGGCTGTAAACAGGCAGATCACTGTGAGTCTGATCTAGTAGTGAGACCCTGAACACCCTGTAGATCTTTCCCTAAAAATACAAAGAAAGAAAAGAAAAATTTGCAGTTTGACCACAATGGAAGCCTGTATAAAGTTGGAGCCAAAGAAAGTGTGATTACTAAAACAACATTAGTGCCACTGAAAAAAGCCAAGTACTTTGTATCAGGACAATGGGAAAGATGGCATAAAGGCATCCCATGAATTAGCCATATGCCATTCATTATATGCTCAAGAGTGTAAAAGAGTAAACTCCTTTGAAAGACGGTGCTTTGTTCACTCAGTACCATCAGTGTTTCCCTGAGTTCAGATTTCCAGGCACTCAGAGGTCACTGGGGAGTGGGGCCATGGGCAGTGGGGGCCCAGCTACTGCTTAAGCTGGTGGGAGACCTTAGCATCAGCCACATGGGGCAAGTTTTTCAAATATATAAAATATAAGAGATATGGGGACACAGAAGTTTCCACAGAGATTTAAGAAGAAGGCCTGGGAGTCCAGGCAAAAATGTATAACGGGTCACAGTTGTTGCCAGGAAGGTGATGTACTCCGAAAGTCTCATGTGTTCAGTGGTGGAGCTCTTGGAAGATGACTCTATCATAATGATACCCTGTTCATTGGTGGATTAAGCCATTGTTGAGTTCATAGCACAATGTTTATGGCCCCAGTGACACATCACCAACCAGACGCTGCTTCCTACCTGGTTGGCAGTGTGTCACTGGGGCCCTAAAATGGACAGGTGTATTCTTGTTGTTGACTCCTCACTTCTCTCTCCTAACTTTTTGGTCACCACACATTGAACAGCTTTTCTCCGTCATGCCCCTTCTACCATGACTTGTCTACCTTGGAGTCAGCCAAATATGGACTGAACCTTAATCTATGAGGCAAAAATGAACTCCGTTAAATTGCAAATGTATGGTATTTTGACTAATACATCATATAAGTAATCAAGAACAGTAGCTATTATTCTTCAAGGTAACCCTCTGGCTCCATTTCATCTGTAGAGAAAGCCAAGTAGAGTGACAGAAATGTTACAGACACTGCTGCTGGATTTTCATTGTGTCTTGAGATTGACCACCTAGGAAAATGACAAGTTAAGGAAATTACCTGAGATCACACAGTTTCCAAATTGTGGAACAGAAATTCAAATCTAGAGCTCTCATTCCTATCCCTGGATTATTTCTCAGTATTTACTGCTTCTCATCCTTATTGAATTGAAGTGAATAAGTGTACCTGGGAAATTTATTGGAAGACCTAAGACTTTTGTCTAGGTGGAATAATCCTGATTACTTTGTTTCTACTAATTTCCATAGCAAGATTGATTTCCTT